CCCCAAAACCCCAAAACCCCAAAACCCCTACAATGCAATGAGTTTTCTAAGTAGCATTGAATTAACTAAATTAATCTTTGTTTCCTAAATAAATAATTGTCATGATCATCTGTTGTAAATATCAGCTGACATGGTCTCAATAATAGACTCCTTCTCAGATATGATGAGTCTAAGCTTGGTTATCTCTTTAGCATACATTGCTGCATTATTGGTCATCTCGTGCTACATGGCATCAACTCTTGCTTGAGACTTCTGGAGTCTGACCTCAAAGTCGATCTTCTCATCCTCCCAGTCGTGAGCTCCTGCCGTCTAGGGTCTCTTATTCTTTAATTCTTCTCTTAGCTCAGAGACTAAGCTTTCCAAAATGCTGATTTCTCTCCTCAGTCTGTCTACTTCATCATTGTCTCCACCTAAGTTCAACATGTTGCCCTTCAGTGCCTGTTGAAGTTCGAGGTTCTCAGTTCGCAGTTTCTCCAATTCTAGCATGCCATCGCGAGCTCTTTAAGTATCCTTAAGAGTCTTCTCCAAAAGTGCTTCTAGCTTTGCAATAACCTTTTCTTGTTTTCTAATTGTGTCCTTGTATAAGTTGGTCTTTTGAAGCTCTTTGCTAAGTTCAGCTAGTCTTTTGGCAGTATCATTATAGGCGTGTTGCATGTTTTCCAATTCAGTTTGCATCTGCTTAGCATGAGCCAAGTCTACATTTGCTGACTTGAGTGCTCTCTCAAACTCCTCATTCCTTAGTCTCTCAGCTCTGTAGGCCTGAGCCAGTTTAATAATCTTGCTCTTTAGTTCTTCATTGGTCATGTAAGAGATCTCCTTAGCCACCAGATTCTACAGCTCAATAGTTTCCTCCTCTCCCATCTTGCGTCTTAGAATAGCATTTTCTGACTGAAGCATCTTGATTGTGCGGCGCAGATCTACTATCTCAGAACTTGTAAGCTTCAAAGACTAGCCCTTGTCGTCCAACTCCTTCATCATTCTATGAATAATCTCCTGCTTCTAAGCCAACTCTCTAGTCAGTAGTTGCCATTTCTCACGATCTTGCAATGACTCTGGACCACCCTCAATCAGTCTGTTTAGATCTTTACTCATCTGAGAGCCAGCAGTACCAGGTCTCTTGTCGAAATCAAAGACTCCTTCAAGGGGATGACATGATATTTCTAGTTTAGATCTTGTGTTCTAAATGGCATTGTATGCCGAAGTAGCTGTGAAATACTGAACATCTAGCACTTCTCTTTCATGATGCACTGAACTATACATAAATATTAGCGAATATAGTTAAGTCTTACAATAAAATCTTTCTAAGCACATCATCTAGGTACTCAGTGAAACCACACACCTCATCAGGCATAGCATGAGCAGTGGCTTTAGTCTCATCTTTAACTAGCAAGAACATTGAAAGCTTCCTATCTAAGAAGGATTTCGGTATAATGAACTAGGCAATCGCACCATACTGGTTATCCATAACATCAGGGGGCATTCTCATCCATGGAGATGCAAACACTCCATATTCAAGCTAATTAGTGAATGTAAAGACCTTAGCTATTGCATCCTGTTGCATCAGATCTAATTATAAATAGGGAATTGAGTTAGGTTTGAAGGCGTCTGTAGTCATGATGACTGAGAACTTCTTGCAAGCTGAGGGTAGAGGACTGAAATCGGCCCAGTTCAGGACAACAGAGCATAGCGAATCTATTGCACTGTTAATTGGCTATAAATAGTTAAAGCACTATTGATTACTCTTTCAAGTGTTAAAGTTAAGTATATCTTGCATCTCTAGTCGCTATCACGATTTCTAGTTAAGATCTCTAAATGAACTGGTCTGAAGGCTTGGAAAGCGAACAAGGGAATACATAGCCTTTCAAAAGGTTCAATTTGGTTTTTATCTCTAAAAATAAGCCAGAAATATCCAGTTAAATCCAAAATCTCAGGTGGATTGTGGAATAATAGTTCTTGATTCCAATGTGGGTGTCTGGTATTCTCGACCAAAACTGACATGATTTTGTTGTATTCATCAGGATCAGTGTGCTCATATAAAGACCAACCAAACTCTATTTGAAATTTCAATATGCTTAGATATTACCTGCATAGCAAGAAGGCAGTCCTTGCTGGGTTGTTCTATTCAATGGAGCATCAAGAGCGCATCTGAGATCGACTCTTATTCTCCATTTGAAATTGGGTTCCTCTGCTGGCAGTAAATGAACCTGACTTATTGCCTTTTTAGGCCCAGTCAATGTCCTTCCATCAAAATGATCGTACTTTGTCATATAGTCACCCTATCAAGCATAATCAATTCAATAGTCATACCACCAGTTTCAAGATGCAAGTGAATCTACCAACAGTGACCTCCTTGTCATCTCTTCGACGACCTAGGGACAAATGCTGTCTCACTCCTACTCCATAAATATCATTAAGTGCACTCATAATAGGCCCTAGTTCCAACACACATTCTCCTAATAATCTTGCCTAGCCCTTGTTCTCTAGGTCGACTGCATTCTCCTTTCTATCTGTAACTACAAAGCAAGCGAACTGCAGTCGAGGGTTCTATTCTAATTTGTGTTGCTATACTGGCAAGAAAAACGAGTTAGCTGAGAACACTGGATTGGTAACTGCAGCTGACACATCTGTCCTCCTCTATAAATATTTGTATTAACATCTGATTATCAAAACAGTCTGCTCTTACTTACCTTTTCTCCCTCTCCGTCAACTTGGACAGTCAAGAAGTAGTGAAACTCTTTTGCAAATTCACAATTTTCAATAGTGACTTGCAGACTTTTCCTAATTCCTTCCATGATTTAAGCAATAGATATATTATGCAAAGATTCAATTTATAATTTAATTGAAGTATTACTAAATTATAAAACTAATCAAGAATTAATGTCAGCAAATAACAATCAGTAACAGCCTCAGCCTGTCAACAGTCAAGTGGTCTACAGCAACTCTCCTAATAGAGATTTAGCTGATTTCGGGTATAACTAGAGTTTTAGTAATCCGATGCAAGTAATATTGACACATATATAAATATCTTATAGACTGGCTCATTTTAGAATCCCAATGGTCCTCTTGCCAACAGCCAGCTTCCCTGTAAGTATTCACAATAATATAATTGATTAATTAGAATTGGATTCTCGAGACAAATACGCCAGATAGCAGCCAGGCAGTCAGTTCATGATGAGCAATTAGAAGCAGGGAGACTAGAACACTATAAAGATGCCTTCAATAGCCTAAAAATTCAACCTAAAGCGAGCTTCAGACCAGCAAGAGGAGTTTGAGTTGTATGAGGGCAGTGGCTAGCGATTCAAACCCATTTAGAGTGTAAACCTAGTTGATAAATTCATAGAGAGCAGGCAGCAGTAGTAAAACTAGTTGCAATAGAACGACACCAGTCGCTACTCCTAGCAGAATCAACAGTCTAACCATAAAAATTAGTCTTCTCCCTTTAATAACAATAGTCTAACCCAGAAGTTGGGACAGGCTATTCAGCAGTAGCTGGTAAAGTCGAACTTTCACTCTAATGACTCAAATGTGCTATAGCAGAAGTTGGCTGACTTAGAAGCAGAGCTAGCTGCATTGGACTCTGAATACGAGCACCTACAGCTGGAAAGCGAATCTTTGAAGGAAGAGCAAGATGAGATAAAAACAAAGAATAAGTAGCTGTTCGAGTAAATCACTGCGATGGGTGGGGGACTCAATGATACTACTGATTTGAATGAGTCTATCATGACTAATAACCTCAACTCTAAAAGACAGCTTAATGCTGGGCCATCTGCACATGGTGAATAGCATGCTACTTAAGATAATAACATTGGAGAGATTCATTCTCTCTATCAAGATCTGTTCCTTACAGATATAAAGAAAGAAGTGGAAACAGCTCAGACTGAACTGAAGTAATGCAAGCAGGAGCAAAATAATGCTCAGCGGGAGATGGCCTAACTGAAGAAGGAGAACTAGTAACTTAACGCTACTCTCAAGAGATACCGCAAAATGCTACAGGAAATGACTAACAGCAAGAAAGATGATTTGGCTAACATCAACTTCATGTCGCCGACAGACCTGCAGAAAATGCACATGATGAGTTTCGAGAGTGTAGATCACTCGGCTGTAGTCAATTAGCAGAATACCATACAGTAGCTGCAGAAAAATGAGAACAAGGGAGGCAAAGCTCTGAAGAGATCCGATAGTGGCACATCCTCAGTCACTAATCTCATTTCACAGGCTACCTTCATTGAAACAGCCAAAATCGAAAGACTGCTGCAGTCTTTACTCTAGATTTAACAGACTGATAAAGTGCTTGACATTCTTATGTACTCCCTTAAGGAACTTAAGTTTCTGATTAACTGCCAGAACTGTACCATCTTCAATCTCTCATTAGAACTTTAAAAGCAGATTCAGAGCGTCGAGAAGACTTAGAACATTAATATGCAGAAGTTCACACTAGATGGGGGACAATGGATTGATGCATTTTGTGAAAATGATAAGGAAGTCTCATAGCCTGGGTTTAAGAAGCCTGAGGACATCAAGTACGGGATGAAGAACTAGCAATTCCTTGCTCAGCCAGTCGTGTTTAGAGATGACGAGCTCATATTAGTGGTTTAGTGTGAAGCGAGATTTAACAAAAAGACAAATAAGTATCTTGGATTTCAAGTAGCTGATGAATAGGTTCTTAAGATATTCTGCTATTATCTCCAAATGAGATTTGAGAGAAGGGTTGCACTTAGAGAGGTCAAGCAAAAAGAGCAGGCTGTAGTTGATACACTTAGACTTACCAGCGAGATCTGTACTCAAAGGCATCATGAGGGGTTATTCAGGAAAATGAGAGAAAACCTGCCTGACTTCTTTGGCTTTGAGAGTGTTGGAGTCCTGATCTATAACTTCAAAAGTAAAATACCTTCATTTTATATTTCATAATAGCAAATTGGTTGTTCACTGATCCTGACAACGTAAAGGAACATAGACCAACAAATGCCCAAGCAAATGCTATGAATGCAGCAGATCTTCTTAACCAAGACTCTCAAGGAAGCATGGAGCCATTGACTATTTAGCAATAACTATAACTCAAAGAACAGTAAAAGCTGAATTAAAAGTCAGAGGAAGAGAAGGCATAAGAGGCAATTGCTAAGATAAAAGAGGTGCACTAGAAGAAATTTATGAATTTCCCTTGCAACTCAGGTATCAGTGGCATAGTCTTCCAAACAGGCTAGATCTATATTTCAAACAACGCAGCTAAGGAGACTAAGTTTATTGATGAAATAGACAACTAGAGCACCATAACTGATGTCAAGAACTTTATGATTGGGCCAGTCTATGGTGAAAGAAAGGACATGCCCTGCGGAATCATCTAGTTTGTGAACAAAGTCAAGGGAGGCCAGATAACTCCAGCTGACGAGAATAAGTTCAAAGCAATGCAAGGTCTTTTAGGCATGTGTATTGATAATACTAATGAGATGTCGCTTACCATCAATGTGACTTTGGATGTCCATGATGTGATGCAGAAGATTCAAGACATTATGAAGAGAGATCAGCAGTAGGAGGAAGAATTCGATCACAGTGAAAATAAGCTTAGCAATCTAAGTGATAACATAAAGAGTATCAAGGAAACCTTCAATAAACTCATTGATGATAGAAACAAGGGCAAAGCTAATATTTGAGCACTATCCTTTTGATATATGATTATAATCTTAATTTCATCAATCCAATCATTTGAAACAATTGAGCAAAGCGGGGTTTTGGGGTTTTGGGGTTTTGGGG